GTATCACTCCCAGATATGTGATTCCTCTCACCCCGCCCTGGGAGTACCAGAATCAAATGTGTGAGTACCACAACCTGGCCTTCCCATCCCCTGCTGCACCATGATCAGGTGGAGCTTAACAACAACAGCAATAAAAGACTAGAGTAGTGGTTTTCTCTTTCTTTTTCCCCTTTGGACCCCTCCAGCAGTGCCAGGGAGACCATATAATAAAATGGCTCAAACCCAGGGCTCCTTGTTAAAAACCAAGCATGCCGGCCCTTTAACTCAATGGCCCTAGAGTAGTAGTTTCCAATCATCAGTTTGTGGGCCAGCAATGATGTGCAGGTGTGAAAAGGTTAAATCCACTTGGGCAAGAGTGTCTCAAATTCAAGCCGACTGCCTTCAGTACATGGGGGTCGGGGGCAGTTTCCATAGGTGTGCTGGAGGACACTACTTTGTTAGAATACAATTAGTGACTTAGTGGTTAAGTCACTTTTGAAATTTGCCAAGATCTTGGTTTCTTTCTTAGCCTACATTTTGTCATCTCCCCCTTTCTTTATGTCACAATGAGGGCTAAGGGGTTGTTAGCTCCCTTGCAGGAATGAAGATGGCGACATGCACTGACAGTCTTCTCAGACTCCAGTCTCTCCCACTCAGTTGCAGAAATCTTTGTTCAAAATAAGTCTTATCCAGGGGCTGGAGCAACAGCACAGCGGGTTGGGCATTTGCCTTGCATACGGCCAACCCAGGTTCGATTCCCAGCATCTCATATGGTCCCCTGAGCACCGCCAGGAGTGATTCTTGAGTGCAGAGCCAGGAGTAACCCCTGGGCATTGCCGAGTGTGACCCAAAAAGCAAAAACAACAACAACAACAACAAAAAGTCTTATCCAGTTCCCAGTTAGCAAGAGTTGTCATTTGGGCATCTTGAGTTTCTCTATGACAGTCACTCTTCACAAGGGACAATTTTGCCCCAGGTACTTTGAGAGTCTGGTAGGTACCAGGTAGGGTAGGGAAGTCACTGCGGGGTAGAGGCAGCTTGAGCATTCCATAATGCACCGGACAGCTTCCACATCCAACCCTGAATGTCCACAGCTGCCCAAGAAAGCAAGGTCCAGGTCTGCTTGCTCACCACCAAGGGAGAAAAGCCCAGAGCAGGTTCTCAGCACACTTTGCAGGAAAGCTCCGGGCCCAGCTGTGTCTGCCTCCCTAGGATTGGAGTACTGAGAAATTCTGACTCAAACATCATATTTGACTGCCAAGCCAGAGGACTGAAACCTCTGGCTTTCCACATTTTTAGTTTGCTGGGAAGGTAATGCTGGGACACATGAGTCTCTAACAGTTCCCACACAGAGAAAGAAATCGATGCAAAGGCTGAGATGGAGAGAGTCATGGCATGTGTTCTCTGCTTGACTAAGACAGGCAGGTACTCACTGGGGCCTTTGGGAGCAAAGTTTCAGTTGTATTTCTGTCAGCAGACAACAAGGACACTTTAATATATAAATGCAGCGACAGTAGAGCAGGTAGGGTGCTTGCCTTGCATATGGCTGATCTAGGCTTGTTCTTGGCATCCCATGTGGTTCCCTGGGTCCCACCAGGACCAATTCCTGAGTGCAGAGAACTGAGCACTGTTAGGTGTGGCCTCCAAACAAAAACCACCACCACCACCACCACCAACAACAACAAAATCTGCTTCTAGGAAAGGTCAATTCACTCAATGAATTTTTCATTCACAAAGGTCTTACAGGTTTCTGCCAATAGGATTCATCTTTTAATGAAGGTTCATCAAAAATGGAACCAAGGGGCCAGGGAGACAGCTCTGAGGGCTGAGCCCATGCGCTGCAGGCAGGAGTCCCAGGTTCAGTCCAGGGTATTACTTGGTCCCTCAGGCACCAAGCTAGGGGCATCCCTGAGCCCTGACATGTATAGCACCCAAACCCCAAGAATCAAAACCAAAATAAGAACTTAAACCAAAAGATTACAATCTTAAAAATGATTAAATTTGGTCGTCTTAAATGGCTGAATAACATATGAAAATTATTACTGGATAATAATAATACCCAATAATTATTATTGGGTAATAATAATAACTAAATACCACAGGAAAGGAGATGAAACTTAAATTTGTGATTGTTTTATGTCTGTTTTTATTTTTGTATCATATCCAACAGTGCATGGGAGAGCAATTCCAGGGATCGAACTCAGGCCTTCTATATACAGTACATTTGCTGTACAGTCCATTGAGCTAACTCTCTGGTTCAACGATTTTCTTTTGGGTGGGGAAGGTTTGAGCCATGATCCTGGATACTCAGGGCTTTTCCTGACTCTGTGTTTAGTGCTTGGGGGACTCTGTGGGTGAAAGGATCTAACCAGAGTTAGCCACATGCAAGGTTCCAACTCAGTTTTGTTTCCTTAAACTGATACTAGATTTTGTGTTAGTAAGGATTTTAGATTTTGTAGATTGTATGATCTCTGCTGCAGCTCTTTAACTTTGCTGTTGTAATGTGAAGTAGCCTTAGATAATGCATAAACCATTGAGTATGGCAGTGTTCCAAATACTGTTTATTTGTGAACTGATGCATTAGTCTTGACTTGGCTGATGGGTTAGTGAAAGTACAAATGGTGTTTCTGGCAAAGGAAATTATAGGTGCAAAGTCATGGTGACACATGGCATTTCGGACAATTGCACCTTTTAAAATTCTGCATAATTCATATTAGCATTGTTTAGCCTGAGTATCAGAATTCTAGTCTACAGTGTGAGATTTGAAGATTAAACCTCAGCCAGAACTTAATGTTAATTATTGTTATTGCTATTTAATGTTAATAGTGGGTTGAAGCAATAGCACAGTGGGTAGGGCATTTGCCTTGCACGTGGCTGATCCGGGCTCGATTCCTTTGTCCCTCTTGGAGAGCTCGTCAAGCTACCAAGAGTACTCCGCCCGAACAGCAGAGCCTGGCAAGCTCCCCGTGGCATATTCAATATGCCAAAAACAGTAACAACAAGTCTCACAGTGGAGATGTTACTGGTGCCCGCTTGAGCAAATCGATGAACAACCGGAGGACAGTGCTACAGTGCTACTAATAATACCGAGATAGAGTGCTTGCCTTGCACATGGTTAACCTGGGTTTGATACCTGGCATCTTCTATGGTTCCTGAACACTACCAGTAGTAAGTCCTGAGCATCCCTGGGTGTGGCCCCCCCAGCCCCAAAAAAGATTATTATTTTTTAATCTTTCCACTCTCTTAGATGTGGACAGTAAATATTCCTGGTAACCTTAAAATTAACCACTGGTGGGCTGGAGAGATAATGCAAGGGGTTAAGATACTTGCCTTACATATAGCTAATCCTGGTTCAAACCACTGGAAATGCCCCTGAACATCACCAGGTGTGACCCAGAAACAAAACCAAACCAAAAACAACAACCCCCCCAATAAAAAAGAAAGAAGAAAATTGATGACACACATAGCCCTGTCCAGTGGATCCCAGATAAATATTACCAGATTTATTCCATGTCTCAAGTAAATGTGAGTCTTTAATATTGCTTTATGACCCAAATATTCTCAATATAGTGGATATGATCTTACTCTCTCTCTGTGTCTCTCTCTGTCTCTCTTTGTCTCTGTCTCTCTTTGTCTCTGTCTCTCTGTCTCTCTCTGTTCCTGTCTCTCTGTCTCTCTGTCTCTGTCTGTCTGTCTGTCTGTCTGCCTGTCTGTCTGTCTGTCTCTCTCTCTCTCTCTCTCTCTCCTTCTCTCTCTCACACTTTCTTTTTGTTTCAAGACTCACTTGGTGCCTGGAGGTTGCTCCTGACAGTCTAACCATTCAGCTTCTGGAAACTTCATTTTCCTCCACAAAAACCAAGAATTAAAACAATATTTATCTTTACTTTTTGGGTCACACCTGGCAATGGACAAGGGTTACTCCTGGCTCATGAAATCAGGAATTACTCCTGGTGGTGCTCGGGGAAGCATATGGGATACTGGGAATTGAACTCAGGTTGGCCACATGCAAGGCAAATGCCCTGCCTGCTGTGCTATCGCTCCAGTCCCAATATTTATCTTTAAAGTTAAAATACTATTTAAGGGGCTGGAGAGAAAGTACAACAGGTAGGGTGCTTATTATCTTGCACATAGTTAATCTGGGTTTGATCCCTGGCACTGCACAATGGTCCCTGAGCATTGCCATGAGTGATTCCTGAGCACTACTGCGCATGGTCCAAAAACAAAAGACAAATAAAAGGAAAAAAAAAGATATAAACTGTAAGAATCTGGGGCTGGAAGTGGCTAACCCTGGTTCCATTTCTAGCAGCCTGTGGTCTCCCAAGCATCGAGTAGCCTCTGCATCACTGGGTGTGGCTCCAAACCCAAGGGACACCTCCCCACCAAAAAATTTATGTGGAATGTTTAGTAAAAGGTGAAAGTCTATACAAATGAGGGTCACAGCATCTCCTGGAAAACTGCACTTGAGGTGCCTGGACAGCTGTGGGGAATGGGGGGATTTTCCAGAACACTGGAAAAACATCTGCCTCTACCTGAGCACTAATAATTCAATTCTCAGTCTCATAAAGACTGTTAGGGGGCCAGAGTGATAGTGCAGTGGGTAGTGCACTTGCCTTGCATGCTGCTGACTCAGGTTTGATCCCTGGCACCCTATATGGCCAGAAGTAAAGAGTCAGGAATAAGCCCTGAGCTCTGCTGGATACGGCCATTTTCAAAGCAGTATCTAAAGGTCTCAGGGCCACTGGTGGCAATACTTGGCCTGGCTCTATGGAACTGATGTTCATATAGTTTGGACCCAGTAATTCTGGGGGTAAGGGACACAAGGGTCATACCTGGTAAGTATCTGGGGCTCTAAGAGCTACACCGGAAGGTCCTCGGGACCACGTGCTGTGGAAGATCAGACTCACATCTCAGACACGTGAACGTGAGCCTGAGTTACTCCCCAGTCTGGGGTCACTTCTGAGCATGGCCATGGAAGTGAAAAGGCAGACTGGACAATTGCATGACGGGAAGGTGTTCCTTACCAGGCTGATGCCATTCACTTGGATATACTGGAGGAGGACACTGGCCACACTCTCTGTATTCCACTGGACATCTGGGTCATCTGGGAAGTCCCTGAATGCAAGCAGAGTTAGAGCAGCACTTTGAGTCAAGCAGGAGTTTCTCAGCTGTGGTAGGTACGTAGGTATCAGTATTGTGAGAGGAAGTGTCATATTTCAGAGCCCAGGTTTCTGTTGAAGAAATCTGACACAATTTGAAACCAGTGCACAGCTCTACACATTTCTGGAGTTTTGTGTTCACTGCCGAGGAAAGGAATCAATGAGATAAGGTTCTGTCTGCAAGTTGGGGAGACAAAGGAGCCAACTACAAGGAATGGCACATGGCTTTATTTCTCTCCTAGCCCTCTCGGTGGCTGCTTTTGGCATTGGGCCGTTCTTCACTTAAGGCAGGAAGAGGGGTGCCACAAAAAACACAAAAATGTTGTAGTTGATTAACTCCAGGCTCCAACTCATTCTAAAAACTGAAAAATACATGTTGGGTAGAAGTAGACGCTGAAAATGATCAGCAAACGCAAAGTAAAAGTACCAGCCTGGCGGGAATTGGAAGCAGCCTTGCCCTGTGCTGACAGAGCCTATCACTGGGGCGGCCAGTCTCATGGGGAACAATCTGGAGCTCATGCAGACCAGGTGATCCTGAAGCATTCGAGAACACACTGATGAAAAAGAAGTCCTGCCAAAAAGTTCTTTAGTAAAACTGAAAAAGACTTCTCTTTTTTGGAGTAGCACTTCACTGTAGCACTGTCCTCCCGTTGTTCATTGATTTGCTCAAGCGGGCATCAGTACACCTCACAACAAATTGTGAGACTTGTTACTGTGTTTGACATATTGAATAAGTCACGGGTAGCTTGCCAGGCTTTGCTGTGTGGGCAAAATACTCTCGGTAGCTTGCCAGGCTCTCCGAGAGGGGCAGAGGAATTGAACCCAGGTTGGTGGCCAGCCCTACCAGCTGTGCTATCACTCCAGCCCCCTTTTTGGAGTAAAATTAACAATACTTTAATAAAAAGTACAAACATATGTTATTTTATTTAACCACATGGGCAGCTATTGAAGGGGCCCTTACAGATGAAATAATGTGAACAACAATGAAAACTTACTTACAAAATTGTGAGCTGCATTTGAACCCAGATTTTCTGACTGCAATGCCAGAATGTTCTAGCGCTAGGGAGCCGGTGATATACCTCATAATCACTGCCAGCGGGGCATACCAGATCTCAGAAGTTGGGTCTCTGCTTGATTAACCTGCAGCTTACTTTTTTCCCCACTGGCTACGCTACCTCCTCCCATCTGTGAAAATTCTTCCTGCTCCTTTTAGTGCACAAATCTACGGTATCAACTACTAAGACATTAAGACCTCAATTTTACCTCTTTTCTGAGGATTTTACTCCTACTTGAAGAAGGAGATACTCATCACTGTTCAGTGTCGGTCTTGTGCCAACACCCACAGTGCAACTGAGAGAGGACACTGGCTGTCACCCGGCAAGCTGCTTTAGCTCTGGGGATCAAAATCATTAACTCACTTGCGTAGGACTCTGACCAAAGGAACATCACTGAAGCTTTTCAGCAAGAAATAATGTAAGCCTCAGCACTAACTGTCACTCCAACTTAAGCAGTTGTTCGTTTGTGTCATAGACTAGCTTTACCAAACTTGTATGGTGCCGGTGTGGAAGGCAGCTCTATACCTTTCAAAGTCATTCTGTGTGGTTCTTATAATGTTCCTGCAGTAAGCAGAACTGACTGCTTAGCTGGTGGGGGGATGGAGGAGAAGGGGAAGAGGAAGGGATCAGGGCAAAGTTTATCTTCCCAGACCGAAGCTTAATATAGATCTAACAACACAATTTGCAAAGTGATAGAGGAATAAGGAAAAGTACCTTGGAGTGGAAATACCTCCAGTATGTAGCTGGTAGATCCACATAAACATACCAAGTCATGATTCTGGAAACTTACTAGACTGATAATAGTCCATGTACCTTGGCATCTAAGATAGAAAATTAACTTAATAGAGAAGGTAGGGTGGTACTTGGCTAAGACTACCTTTTTTTAAAAAAAAATTTGAAGTGCTGACAGATGAATTCAAGAGTAGGAAAATTCATGGTTACCTTCCATTTATCATCAGACAACATTCTTTTTAACTTAAAAAAAATGGATTCGGGGGAGGGGGCTGGAGCGATGGCACAGTGGGTAGGGTGTCTGCACGCAGCTGACCCGGGTTCAATTCCCAGTATCCCATACGGTTCCCTGAGCACTGCCAGGAGTAATCTCTGAGTGCAAAGCCAGGAGTAACCCCTGTGCATTGCCGGGTGTAACACAAAAAGAAAAAAAAATGGATTCATTGTGATTTATAAGGTTATGGAGTTATTCATGGTTGAGTTTCAGGTACACAATGTCCCTTCACCAGTGTCCACTTCCTATCACCAATGTCCCAGTTTCCCTCCTGTCCTCCATAGTCTGACTCTATGGCAGGCACTTTTGCCCCCTCTCCTTCCTCCCTTCTCTCTTTCCTCTCTTTCCCTCTCTCCTTCTCTCTCTCTCTCTCTCTCTCTCTCTCTCTCTGTCTGTCTCTCTCCTTTTGGGCATTATGGTTTGCAATAAAGATACTTAAAAGTTATCCCGTGTAACCCCATCAACAGCCAAGACCCAGAGACGCTCCCAGAAGCGCGCGGCCTTTGGACAACTTGGCAGGCTACCGAATGGAGCCTGCCCACACGGCAGAGTCTGGCAAACTTCCCGTGGTGTACCCAATATGCCAAATACCAGTAACAATGATGGGTCTCATTCTCCTAACCTGAAAGAGCCTTGAATATGGCACTTTAAAAATCTCAGGGCTAGGACGGAGGAGACGTTACTGGTGCCTGCTTGAGGCAATCGACGAACAGCAGGATGATTGTGATCATGCAAAGTTATCATGTATATCCCTTTATGCACTTTCAACACTCAGTTCTTGTCCAGAATGATGATCATTTTCAACTAGTTGTCATACTGGTCTCTTCTCTATCCTAACTGCCCTTTTCCCCACACACACTTGTGGCAAGCTTCCAACCATTGATTAGTCCTCCTTGGCCCCTGCTTTTTCTGGCCTTGGATATTAGTCTCATACTATTTTTTTTTATATCCCAAAAATGAGTGCCGTCTTTCTATATTTGTCCCTCTCCTGATTCATTTCAGCATGATACTCTCTATGTTCATCCATTTACAAGCAAATTTCATGACTTCATTTTTTCAGGAGCTACTTTTGGAAGTGCTCAATGGATCATATGTGATGCCCAGTCAAAATGGGGTCAGCTACATGCAATACAAGTGCCTTAATCATTTGTACTATTTCTCCAGCCCCCAAAATATAAAAGTCAATGGTATTGAGTAAATAAAAACTGTTGCACTTTGTTCTACTACTGTTTCACATATTTTTCTTTCTTTCCATTTTTTGGGTCACTTCAGGCGGTGCTCAGGGTCTGCTTCTGGCTCTGGGCTCAGGGATCACTCCTGGAAGGTCTCAGGGGACCACATGTGATACTAGGGATCAAACCTGGGTTGGCCATATGTACCAGGCAAGTGTTCTGCCTGCTGTAATATCTCTCCATACCCATTTATTTTGAGGGGGCTATGTTGGGACCACACCCAGTGGCGCTCAGGGTACCATTTGGTGTCAGGGACCAAAACCCTGCTTGAGTGTAGTGCTGGTGGTACCATGTGGTGTCAGGAATCAAACTCCTGCTGAATGTCATACTGGTGACCCCTAGCACTGCTGAACATGACCCTGCAAGGCCTGAACTATGCCTCTAGCCCCAAGCACTGAGCCATTAAGCCCATGCTCCAAGGCTGAGCTCTGATGGGAGTGTCCTTAGGAGTGGCCTCCCCTTCCTCACCTTCACCCTGGTGTACACCGGTGTACCACCGGTGTGGCTGGCATTGAAAAACATTGAAAAAAAATGTTGAAAAAAAATTAGGGGTCAGTAAGATAGCTCAAAGAACTATTTTCTCTGGTTAGCATTAGCCATTTACCTGTCTAGATCAGGTATGAAAATGAAAATGACTATTGTTAAGCCTAAGTGTTTTAGGCTTCATCAGTGAATTGCCCCTTTTTCTCCTCCCCCTTCCCTGCTGAGATATTTACAGTGCTCTTATAGACACTCCTAATCCACCTGAGTTTACCTTTTACCTTTCCTTTGGCTTACCTTTCCTTCTGTTTGCTACTAATTTCCCCAAGTCAGGCTTGGTTACAGTGCCAAACCTTCTAGTGACTCTGGACTTCATATCTGTAATGAATTATTTGCTTTTCTCTTTTCCCTATGCCCTTTTCATATTTTACTATAGAGCAATGTTCTTTGCTTAAATACATTAATGCTGTGCCCCTAATATTTGGGAGTTGATTGATTCAGTAATGTATTTACTCCTGGGCATCCATCATAATTAAAAGACTCAGGCTTCAGTTGACACAGTTCCTAACACCCCAAAAAGCTGGGTCCCACGGAGGGACTTCTGAATGGACCTGGGGCAAGCAAAGCTACCCCTGCATTGATTTCTAGAAACATAAACACAGTCTTGAAACAAGCAAAGATACAGAATCCCATGGTGTAGGAAAAGCTAAACCATCCCGAGGGCCTAACTGGGATTTACGGTAAGAGTCTTGCTGGCTTTTAACATTTTCTTGCCCTCGGATCCCAGAGAACTAAGTTTTGGAATCTATATGTCTTATGGTGTTTATTCAAATAACTACAAATATTAATAATAAGTAAACTTAATTGTTTAATGTGTACTAGCAGCAAGGGGAAAAGAAGAACAATATGGATGCTTGTTGCCCCTGAGTGAATTTTTCAGAATAGTTTCAGACAGAGCATTTCCTTGAGGCCCCCGAAAGAATTGCCTGTCAAAACGCTTACTAATACTCTCTATGTGGAGTTCTTAGGAAAATGTTTTGAATGATTGGCCCTTTTTGTTTTACTTTCTTGGGGGTGGACATCCACACAGTACTCATGGGGCCTGGGGCCACACCCAGCAATACTCAACCAACTGGGTCTGAAGGTTCAGTGCTCGGGCACAAGAATGCAGAACTTCTCATGC